CATGAGTTTACAGAATGAATTGTAAAGAATGATTCAATCAGCTGGAAGGTTGTTCAGTACAGGACACCATGGAACAACAAAGTCTTGCTTAAGTCTTTAGCCCTGATATTCAGCTCAAACTCCAAAATACTAGTTCCAATGGTGTTGGTTCATTCCTTTCTGAACACTATGATGATGTCGTCATTGTGTATCAGTGTTATACGAAGTAGGCAGGCTTCTTTACATTAATACCATACTCTGAAAGGGCAGGTGTCAAGTCTTCCATCGTCAAAACTAATTTTTTGTCCTAAAAATTAAAGAAATTATATTTAGATACATTCAACTATGGTCAACAGAAAGAGCTATTATGTACTAAAAATGGAGCAAAGCCACAATTGGCTGGGTTGTGGAATGAGTGCAATGTTATATGGTATTTATAAGACAGTTAAGGTGTTTCATTTGTTGAGTATGTCTGGAATGAATCCATATTAGGAGGTGCACATCTTCAACATATATATAAACATCCTAAAAAGGTTTGAAGCTTCTATATCAAAAACTTAGGAGGAGTTGATTCTACAAAACTGGTACCCCTTTTGCCTGCCAAACTGCAGAAAATGACTAAGTTCCAAAACCCAGAAAATCCAGAAAAAAGTCTGGACAAAATCCATAAAAGGAGGTGCACATCTTGAACATATATATATAAACATCCTACAAAGTTTCAAGCTTCAACATTAAAAACTCTAAGAGGAGTTGATTCTACAAAACTGGTACCCCTTTTCCCCACCCGCCAAAAATTGGAGATTAAACTAATATGGTCCAGAGAGGTGCAACTAAACACAGAGAAATTTTTGTAACAATATTCAAGTAGCTGAATTTCCCAATATTAATTAATATAGCAAAACTTTGTGACCTAGGCCACATGGCTATTCATAAGAAGACATCAAAATATCAAAACAGAGATGACCTCTTGAAAGTGGATCATGGTCATTTATTGTCAACAAATTTATTATCCCTTTATATCAGCATGCCATTGAACAAATATGACCCTTGACCTCTTGATTTTTACACATTACATCTCTGACCTTGCAAATGGGTCAAGGCAAATCATGTGAAGAAACTTTTCATCCGTGCATGCTCCTGGTCATTACTACAGGGTCTCTTATCAACAATTCAAGCTGAACCAATGACAGATAATGCACTCCAGTACAAACTTATATGCCCTTTGAGCAGATGTGCCTCCAATGATAATATCCCTTTTAAAAAAACTTATTATTTTATAACACTTCCAAACAAGTTATTCCAGCTTATATTAGTCATTCTTGTTGGCCTGGATGGAAGCAAAGCAGGGTTCTAAGTGTGAGAGGAAACCAGAAGTCTCCAGGGATGACATGTATGGTCAGGCAGGTGACACCACACCTTTTCTTATCTGTTTGGAGAATCGAACCCTGGATGTTTAGGTGTAAGGCACAAGCATAACCATTGGACAATTAAACCACCTTGCTCCTTTATTTAGATATACCTTGTTCTGTTTCTTTGAGCTCTGACCAGAAGCCTTCATCTTGCAGTGTTGTAGAGCATCATTAGCAATGTCTGATATAAACTTCTGAGCTGCCAGAGACATCAGGCGTGTGCTGTAGATGACAAAAAATAAACAAGTTATCTCCCTTCTAACAGCTCTCAGATCTAACTAAAATCTGGGATCTAGATTTAGGAATCAAAATCTAACATGAAGATGCACTGAAATATAAAGATTTCTAGGATATCGTCTGTGCATGGGTTCTAATTTTTTGCATCACAAACTATGCCAGTAGAATACAACATTTATACTCACATTCTGGGGTCAGTACATTCTAGACCCGCTCTGTTGAGGTAAAATGCTGTCACCGAATCTGGGATCTATAAACAAAAAAGATGGTGTTCCACTATAACTGATTAACGCTTTCATAGGGAGGGAGGGAGGGAGGGAGAGACAGACAGAGAGACAGAGAGATGGATAGAAAGAAAGGGAAGGGGGAAACAGAGAGAGAAAAGTAATGCATCTATATTTATCACTTCTTTGCCTAATATACTTTGATAGCTAAAAGTAATGTATATTATGTAAAACTGTTTGCTTTCTATTTACACAAATTAACTTTTCTGCTACACATATTTCTAAGACAAAACATCTATTGTGCAGTACATGTGACAATGCAATGTAACATTCTTATAGCACGGTGTTGTGACAAAAATATTGATTTCATCAAGGATGTCACATGATTTTTTTTCAAAAGACGTAGATTTCAATTGTTCTTGACTGTGTTTATTTCCCGAATTCATGGCATTTATTTACATAACTATGGTATAAAACAGACAATTAATGTCTTCTCATGCAGTAACCAACACTTCAGAAGACCGAATTGTACACTTATTGCTGTCTTTGTCGTTTGAAAATAATGTCAGTGCTGATCCAGCATGGGCAGTTCAACATCCTACACAAATCAAATTTTCTGAAGTCAGCAAATTTCTGGGGAAGTACATGTAAGCCGAGCCAACACATTACACATCTACATGTGGCACAAAGTCATGGGTGGGCTTAGTGTATTAGTTGGTAGCTCTATTGAATAGCATTATATATAGGTAGGCTAATTACTAGACATGGGTCTTTTTATAATTATGACACTCCGTCTACTGTCCTAATATTTAAGTTTTACCGTAGGGGCGTAGTCTTCTAGCTGTTGTACAAAATCTATGAGTGGCACACCGGCTGTCTTACTGTCCTGGGGCATAGACTCCTGGGACACACCGGCAGTTCCTGGGGTTGACATCACACCCTGGGAGATACCATCATCAGAACCTAGGAACAAGAAAAACTTTGATATATCAACAATGTAATGTATAAAACTCTTACCTATTTTTAATTCACCAATAAGAGTCAGCCTCTGTAGTTTTGTATCGTATCATTACTTTTAAAAACATACATTAAAAATAAGGAATACATACAGGATGCATTGATCTTATCCTTACTCTTCAAAATCAGGAATAAAACATTGTTAAACATTGTAATCATATTTATGTGTTCACTGTTTATTGCCCCTGAGAAGCTTAGTCATTTTAAGGTCGGGTCTCTTTGAAGCAGATGTAGCTGGTGGCTACCTCACAGAACAACATACAGGAGACACACAGCATTCTATGGGGTAAAATGTTTTCCCCGAGGACAAACCCCACTCCATCAGTTCTATAAATAGTTTCCTGAGAAACAAAGACTGCCCCAGGTAAGAACTGAAGCAAACACCTCTGATCTTCACCTACTGTTGTTGAGTTTGATGCTGATAACCAAATATTGCTGACTCAATGAATTGTTCAGTTGAAAAAGATAAATTTTGCAGTTAGTTATCACATTTGCTTGATTTGCATGATACCGAAATCTAGGTTACGTTTGAACGTTAATTAGATACTTTTCACTCTAAAAGAACGATTTTGCCATTTTTTAATCTTTATCAAAAAGGGATTGCCATGGTAAAATCAGGTAAGTTGGCAACTCCGCTGGCACCTTCAGGACAACATCTGTGGTTAGTACTGTTCCCTTTTACATATAGCCAAACCAATGAACAAGTGGTAAGTTTAACATAAGCTTAACCCCAAAAATAAAGAAAAACATCTGCAGCACTATCTTAATCAGTGTACATGTAAATAGTCCATAATTTCCACAATGAAAGTATGAAAATGAAGTTTTAACCCTAAAGATCTGGCCCCAGTTGTTCAAAGGCTGCTTTGAAGAGTGGTTAGTGGAAATTTTCAATTGTGAATCAAACAAAACTGGGAACATTTTCTACCATGTCATACATGAAGATTTGTTGAGAAACATCAGGTTGATATATTTTTGGGCATTACTCTTGCATTTAACACTCTCATTTGTTCAGTGGCACCAGAGGCGTATATATACGTCTCTGGTGGCAGCAATTCAAATTTCTCACTAACCATTAACTCTTTAACTTTTCAGCAATTGGGCCTGCATGGTTGAAAAGGGCTATAATCAATCTATGTCACATCAATAGTAGTGTTGCCAGAATCTTGAACAAACTATAGTGGCATGTAACAATAACCACAACAAGAGATTCCAGAGAGATCTAATGACATCCATTATTGTGTGATCTCAATAGGTTCCTTATCAGATTTTTCACCTTTTTTTCTCTTTTCCAGCATTCTCAAAATGAAATTTTCATAACTAGTCAATCAGTCCCAAAATGAACAGTGTACAACTATATATCGACCAAAGGAAGCCAGTATATGAAATTTGAAAATGATCGATCTAGAACTTTTCCAGAAAAAGCATCACAAGATTTATGTAGGGATGGACAGTTGACCACAGAGCAATGTGGACAGCCCACCATCTGATGAAGGTTTAACACACTCTTCCTAGCTTGTTGTATTTCTCAAGTTGAGCTTAACATGGAATAAACAAGTTTTCAAGAATTTATACTCGTTATTAGCTTCACCTGTGATCATTTTTACCTGTGCTACCTGTATTAATAACAACTCATCTGTAATCAGTGCTGATAATGCAATATGAGCCCTTGAATTTGGAGGTAGACTTTCAAATATTTAGTACAGTATACATTTGCCTATCTGTTTCTAGTCAGTTGTAACTAATTACAGTCCATCAGCAGAGCATTTAAAACATTTCATTTGCATTAAGATTACATTTTATATGTGCATATAATATATTGTACAGCGTATATCATATTGTTAATGTTGTCTTAATATCAAGTTTTATACAGGCTGTATATATTATATTAATGTATGTTTAAGACTGTTTGTACATGTTAAATATTTTTGTTATAAAGTCTTTCCTATAGATTCTACGTTGTTTGGATGAAACAATGTAATAAAGATAATAGACTTGTATACATGTATATACAAGTTAAAAGTATTTTAAATTAGTATCTTTAAGCTCTTGAATTTCTGTTGCCTAATGTTACATTATAGATTGGAAAACATTAAATAAGTTTTATTCTAATTTAAAAATGAAGTAAAACATCAAATTATTGTGAAGAAATTTATTGATTTTCTCATAATAAAAGCACAAAACTGATTAAAATACTGGCAGTTTAGTAAACATATACAATCATTGTACGTAATAAACATAATATACGTTTGCGTCTATTTAACAAAAACATAAACATGCAACTAAAGACGAGTAAATATTATCTATATATACATGTATATAGGAAGCCATGAATACAATAAAAAATAATATGACCAGATTTCCACTATCTCTAATAATAAAAAAGATTGCAAAGATAGATGATTTCATTGGGTATAAAGCAGAAAGGTCTATATCTACCTGGTAGGTATAAAGATGTACACAAAATCTTAATTATCATAACTTTTCAGCAAAACCTTTGCAATATCAATTAAACAGTACTTAAATCATAGTACACAGAGAAGAAAGAATAGAAAAAAAATCCATTGTTACTTATTAGCTTTTTGTCCAGTTGTTGTCTTGTTGACCTTGGAATGATCTGAGCAATCTTTTGTTATTCAAGAAAAAAAAATCCTACACAACCATAGATTATTGTCACAATAAACAGAAATTTTCAGTTAATACATAAACAAAACAGATTCTGTTTTTATCTAACAACCCCTGTCAACTATGTTATTGAATACCAACTAAATTATCTAAATTACAGAAAGGATATGTTGACAAAAAAAAAATTAAAAATATGATCAAAATTTGCAATGACCACTAAATATATATATTTAAGGACTAGTAACATGCAAAAACATTATCAGTGACTAGATTATGGAAGAATATACAACAGTCAGTCTTACTGCTTGACGAGTTGGTGACGTAAGATCGATCTGTATATTAGTATATACATCATCAGCAATGTGAACCACATCTCATTAACACTTTGATCTTGTATTTGACAAGCAAGGATCCTGACATACCTTATTTGGTATTCTTTAAATGTATGTGACACAAATCAAATGGCACTACACCTGTATTTCACACCATCATTTTCAAAGATTCAAAAAGTGAACGAAAAGTAATGATAACCGAGCATCATATGATAAATAAACGCATAGCACTTTGATTACATAATTTAACCTTATATAAAATATTCTGAGGACATATCTTTTTTTCCTGAACAATTTGATTATCTACCAGTATTTCAAAACTAACATCAGTACTTGTAAGCCAGTCAAAAATTTATATCATTAATTTAAAGTTCTAGCTTGAATCTGAACACATCGATAACAGACATGAAGTTTGTAAAAAATTTTAGGAACAATTTTAGTATACACAAAAGAATTTTATAAAAAATCTGATTTCGAATTTACTAAAGAATTAAATTATTCTTCAATGCCTAAACCGTAATCATTAAATAATCAAAGCAGACCAAAATAGTCTTTGAATAAATAGATGTCATCACAAAGAATCTCCACTTCCAAATTTATAGCATTAAAGTTCCACTTCTCATAAAAAACTAAGATAGTTCCCACACCCATGTCATCATCTAGGACAACTAGACATTGTTCTACTAATTTGATCATGCCCAATTTATATATAAAAACTTGAATTCTGCACCTTATTCGGATACTCGTTTGAAATAATTTTAATGATGATGTGATGTTTTTTAGTTCATGATAGTATCATTGATTTCCTATCATCATGACAACAGGTCTTGACCCTCACTGTTTCAAACTGTGTTGGAATTCGAATGGGAAAGTGCATTTTCAAGTAACAAATTTAATTTCACATGATCTTTGTTTTTATATTGTATTTGAGAGATTCTTTTGAGAGTCTTAATTTTCTGTTACCTGCAAACTTAATTTCCATATGTACTCAAGTCATTGTAATAAACACTTATGTTTTATAGAAAATCGTTTATTCTCCAGTCATCTTGAATCTAAAAATCCTCTTACTTTTCATTACAGTGGCATAATAATTTTATGTGAAAATCAAACTACCAATTATTGTTGGTGCATTAAAATCATTCTCCAGGTCTATGGAAGACATTAAGAGGAAAACATTTAATCAAATCATTTCTGAACTTATCTGGACATTTTGTTATAAAAATCACACAACCAAACATGTACAAGTCACCAATGTTTCTCTTAATAATCCATTGTAAAATTACAAAAAAGATTGTGACTATCTTTGACTTTAAATATGAAGTATTTTATAAACAGCTTGAATGTAAAACCTCATTTAAATAAAACTTTATTTGTGTAACCACATATTGAAATTGTAAAATACACAATTTTAAACTGCTTATTTCGAGTCAAATACTTAAAATGGAGAAAAAAAAAAAAAAATTCTGATTAATTTTATGTTCTTTCATTCTGACTCTCAAAAACAACTCCGTCACAAGAAACAAATACAAAATCTAAGCAAAACCTCTATATTTATTTTTGACCTAGAAATCATAGTGACCAAATCCTAGTTCAGAGACTAGACTCAAACAATGCATATGTATGCTATTGCTTTGCTACATAAAATTAACATACCAGAATTTAAAATAAAATAATGCATGTGTAGTATTAAATAAAAATGACAAAAGGCAAAGAAATAACACCTGATTAAAATCTACTAAAATATAAGTAGGATATATACTTGTATATTGATGTAAAGGAAATTTTTACAACCTTGAAAATTAATATTACGTAATATATAAACAGAAGTAAATGGTAAACATCATGAGGACAAATACAACAGTAATGCTGAAACAAACTTAAATCTTTGTACAAGAGACAAGATGGAAGTAGGACAAAAATAAATCCACAACCAAGTACGTAAACGTTTTAACAATTGCATGTACATATATATATATAAACATTATTTATATTGGCAAGAATATTCATAACTAAATCCTTCTTTTCTCAATCAGCAGATCTTGGGTAGGGGTTGATTAAAAAAAGGTATCCCAAAAGAAATCCCAAATAAATTTTGGTCTGAAAAAAAAAAAAAAAAAAAACGAAAAGTTTTACAAATTTACATCAATACTTAAGAAAACCTTCCAAAAAACCATTTTACACGAGATTACATTTCCTTCTTTAGCTTTGCCACTGGCCGTGAGAATCCCTAATGTAGCAATATACAACTGTACACAGTTTTAATTATTACTTTTCAGTGATTGAACAATGGCTGCAGTGTAACTAACAATGACACAGCCATGGCAGCAAAAATTTTATCAAGCTTAAAGAAATGAGAATTATCTCCCTTTAAAATTGATCTCCTATTTCCATGGGAAGACAAATCTAGCAGGCTTGTTTGGCAAATGGATCAATTTTTTTTTTTTTTTAATTTTCTATTGCATTGGTGATCAGCCATCAATGAGACTTTAAATACAAAGTAATGTCCCTAAACATGAAATAGCAACATTCATATACATTATCAGATGTACAACAACAGCCAATACTTTAAGAATTCCAACTGAGTTGTACCAAGACACAGCATTTATATGCCCTATAAAAATATGCATTGGTATAATTGGTATTGAATATGTTTTTTGTAAAGTGTACATAGTATGACATATAAAATAAGAAAATTTACACTGTAAAAAATTCTTAATCAATCTTTCAATTTTCAATCACTTGAAATGTAATGCATAAATATCTGATTAGCATTATACACCCGAATACACTTTGTAGCTGTGACTAAGGGATTCAGAATGCATCCAGCATTCTGGCACTATTAGCTACTTTCTAACAAAAATGGTTGAAATAGAAACTCCATTATGTGTGTGTAGAGTAGACTTTGGAAAGACCAATACTTCTCCTAAAATAGCTACAGTTAAAATGTAATTAAGATAACAGTATTAAGTGTGAGGTGAGTCAGATTAGGTTTAAAATAGAAAATTACACCATAGGAAAATCAGTGATAACACTAATTTCATTTACTTTTAAGGAAATCAGAGTTTCCTAAAATATTTCATTTTCAATATATATGTACTTGTTGAACTTAAGTTAGAATTATCATCTTTTTATACATGTACATAGCTAATGTTAAACTATTGAGTGTTAACTAGAAATTAGAATATTCAGGTAAACAATATGTTACTGGTACTTTAGATTTCATGGCTACTGTCTTCAAAAGTATACCTTAGAGTTAAGAAATTAACCTGAAAAACTGTTCCTGGCAATAATGTTAAAGAGGAATTTATATGATTTTTAATAATATGTGTTAAACCGATTATACTCGCCAGCATAATTGCTTTCATGTGGTGTTTGTTAAAAAAAAAACAATACATGACAATATAGTAAACAATATTCAAAGGAACTTATTTCCCTATACAATATTTGGCAATATTTGACTTTTTGGAATTTGTATTAACCGGTGTGTATGATGATCAAGAGGTAAATTCATTTGTCTACTTTAACATTAGTACAGAATTTTATTCAGGTAAATGGATTTCCTAGATAAAACACCACATAAAATATGCATAATATGACTGGCACAAGTCAGGACTTCTACTGTCAACAAAATATAGACTTTAACAGACGTTTTGAATATGACCAAGGTCACTCTTCATGAATTTGTACATATATGCTAGGGCATACAAGGGCTCTAACCATGAATACTTAATTTGTGGACTCTGATTATGATGAATAGAATCTTAAAATTCTGAAAAGAAAACATTCCAAATAATTCTTAAAAGCAGTTAACAGTTTAGACTAATCAAAAAACAATTTTGGTAAGCTTTATAATCTATATAAGATTGTACTACTTAAATTCACAAAGCCACACACACATATATATTCAGTTACTTATATAATTTCACATGTTCAGCATTTAGATAAGCAACAAATTACTTTTGCATATTATAAATTCTCATGTAAATATCATGATACATCAGCCTTATCAACCATATACTGTATCTTTCCTGTAAAAAGTCCATGAGGACAACGCATATAACCCAAACTTCAATAAGGAGGTGGGCTTATTACAGGATACAGATATAGCTTTAATGGGCATTTCAATCTATTGAAGCTGCAGTATATGTGGGTGGGCTTATTACCAGACACAGGCTTATTGCTGTATATGATACAAGGAAACAAGTCACAAGTGTGGCTGGTGATTAATTAATAATAAAATTTTAGTCAAAACAATCCATTTCACTGCCACCTACTCAAGTCTACATGGATGGTAGAAACCCCGACACTCTAATTTAGAGTGTTGGTACAGTCAATGTCTTTATGTAAGTATATCAGTATAGAATATACATCCCAACACTCCTATACAAGCTGATTCATGTATTAACTGGTACATACACTCCTTGGAGCCTACACCACACCTTCTCAGTTTCTTCCAATCAATTCTCACTTTTGAAGTCTGAAGTGTTTTTTGGAAGGAAAGGATGCAACAGATTGCTAACCTATACACCACTGTTACTTGAAGATATAATGGTACAGTCCAAAAAAGTTGTATTTTTCAAGGGAATAAAGCAAAGCTGGACATTGTGGAGGAATTGATTAGATTTACAAAGGTACATCAAATGAGAATTTTGGCTCTGCATATCCATCCGTTCCATATTCTCGCTTTTTTTCTTCAGACAATTTTGGTGTCTCGGGTTTTGATTCCCAGAAATGAACAATTTCCTGGTTGGATGGGCATGATTTGCGGAAGGTATCATTTGCATAAGCATTTTTAAGATATTTCCAAAGTCCAACCATATCTGCAGGGATGTCGAAATCCTTGAAAGCTTTTGCTGCAACACGGATATGTTGCAGCTTTGGAAGCATTATGCAATCCAGGTGTTTCAGTTCATCGCCACACAGGTAAAGACAATCTACACCCTCCAGGTAATCATTAATAGCCTGTAATTCCTTAAGGAGATTCTCTGGCCCATGGCTCACCTGCTTAATGTAAAACGAAAACTTCGAGAAGATATCTAAGCACACGCTATGAGCAAGCATGTTGTCGTATCTCAAACTTGGGTATGGGAAGTTTTCGTCAAGGTATTGTACAATCTCATCATTATCAGACAAGATTTCATCGCCATGTTTTAAGACAGGAAGTCGGTTTGCAAATTTCTTAAACTCTGCTGGTGGGCGGGCCATGTTGATGGTGATGACATCAAAAGTGAGCTCTCCTGCTTTCCCCTTCCTGTCCAAAATCATGTAGAAGCGCTGGCAGTTTAAACAGGCTCCTAAACATTCTCCATCCTTTCCAGCACGAATATACAGCTCCACATGGTTAGTAGGCATGCTGTTTTGGCTATCTCCGTTTACACTCATGATGTTTGTGCAGAAATAAACATTAACAAGTCAAAATTTTGTTGTGTAACACCTGTCAAAAGCAGGTGTATTCTTTCCAAAATTCCACAACTGAAAAGTTTCAATCAAATCTTCTCCGATAGGAATTTGGGATCCTGATTCCCCTTACTTAATCACTGTTCACTCAGATCCACGTATACTGCTGTGAAGCAAATATCCACAGAAATGCATAAACTAATGCCACAGAACTTGAATATCCAATTCACTTAGATGCTTTGAATTCAGCTGAATCACTCAGATGCTTGGATGACTCTACTTGTTAGATCTGCATGGACTATGGAGTTATGGACCAACCTGAAAGAAGAAAGATGGGGTTAGTTTCAGAAAGTGATTGTAGATCGGCTTTCTTTCTTTTTAAATTTGTTGTCAGCTGATTCAGTAAACAATAAGGTGACCTATAACCAGTGATGACAGAAAAAAGATTGAAATGTGTATGAGAAAGTCTGGCTTTTTCACTACAGTGAAATAAAGATCAGAAAGGGTTGATAATGATTTTTCCTTCCAAAACTTATGACCTGGGGCTTAACTTAATGACTGATCTAATATAAAAGCAGAGTCATCCATGCAAGCTGTGCACATATTTTCACAACCAGAAACAACATTGCCCTCGGCCATGTCAACCACTGTTTTACTTCCTTCGCCTTTATATGTGTCAGTTTTGTCACATATATAGTAATACAGTACAACAGATGGACACATCAACAAAGAATACATGTACAGGATAGAACCCGATCTAATTGATGACAAAGAATCTTGAAGCAGACCAATGAAATTGGAGATCCCTATTGTGAAAAATTTATGAGAAATGACATTCAGGATTAGTAGTGACCATCAAAACATGTAATATACAATATGTTTATACCATTTGAAAACACTATCGCACATGTAAATGTACAAGAATACTGTACAGTATCTTGTCTACTGAAAGAGATTCATAAACAAGTAGTACCCAGCCCCTATCGAGACCTGCAATGTGTATGGGGGTTTAACATATACAAAATCTTCATTAGGATGGTGAGCTTATACATGATCTATCATTTGTTATCATAGGATAAGGAAGAAGTACATGGAGCATTTGTCAACATTTTTACAGCATGACTGGGCGGGCTTCGTGCCAGACCTTGGTTTCTGTCAGATAAATAATACGCTAAAACTTTTTAGTAATTGTAGCCATTTTATTGGCAAGTTTAAGTATCAAGATAAACAACATGCATATTCTATTCTGATTAGTTTGTTCCAGTAAAACATTTTCAGAGAAATTTCAACACTTTGTTACATAATATAATGTCCCTGTGTAATTGAAAATGAAAAAAAAATAAAGAAATAAAAAAGTTGGTCTCTCAGAACTGAAAATTGTTTTCTTGAAAATAGATCTTTTATCTTTATATCCAAACCATGTTGAAGCACAAAAATCTACACAAAACACACAAATAAAGCAATCTGCACTTCTGAAAATTCATGAAATGGTTTCATTGCCTCACCTTCTAGTTGTATATCTCCCGGTTTTGTCTCCAAAATATCACTGTGGAAACTCAAATAAGGAAATACACTGAAAACCATAAATCACGAACGAAAGATTTCATTGATACATCCCCATCATAAAGATATAAAGAGTTGGCTAGCACACAAGCCTCAGAAATTTACTGTTGAAAGTCAGATATGTCCATAAAATGATCTCTTATCATATACATTGTACACAATTCAGCTGACCTGAATTCCTATCTGTCAAAGGCAAATCACAGGTAAGTCGCAGGTAAGATGAGAGAGAATTTTACGAGTAAGATTACGCATAATTAGGAAAAGGCCTTAGGGGATCATGACCTTTATGAGCCTGATACATAGTAGGACGAGTGATGATCCATCAAAATATTTACAGGAAGAATCATCAATGAGAAAGATGTCAGGCTACCTGTAGTACGACGAAGAAATATCACGGGATATGATTTTAATGATTTCTTTGTATTATGGATGTGTGGCATGTATATTACCTTAGCATACCAAACTACATAATTAATTACGCATATCAAGTCAATATTCAGATAGTTCAGACAGAAGAAATGAGGTCTTTATGTACAAATGGCATAAGATACACATATTTTCATTCAAAGTCCCATATTTTGAAACAGTGACCATAAGCTCTCTGAATTGCTATTCTTGTGAAAGAGAGCCTGACAATTACCTGTTAATTTGACAGGTCATGACAAAAAATGTTGCTGTTGTAATTACCTTCACACATTGACGATTAAAAACTAACACTATTTTTCCCTCATTATGATTTTTTCCTTAAAGAAGCTGTTATACAAGTTTGATATTAAGTTCATAAGAGCACATAACACTTTATTTCACCATCTATGACAAATAAGTTTCTTTTTTAGAAAAATGGCTTCTGTGAAACCAAACCTGAATTCCAGATGTAAAATCATATAGCTTAAAAGCAGTAACTGTTGTTCTATATCACATTCTTAAATTCTTTATTCTGTTTCAATCATTTCACCTTGAATCTCATTATCATTGTAGCTGCCTGCACTCCACTGATGACTTCTGTTACAGAGGATGCTAAAGAAGTTTCCTCTTGAACATCTACCTGATTTCAAAGTTCAACAGAAGGGACCTTATTGTCCGCTAGGTAAACTTTAAACAGAGATTTCGGTGAAACCTGTTACGGCTAATCTTATATTATTTCCTTTCTCAAATGATGCATCTTACAAACACGCAGAAATTGATTTTATGTACACCTCTTTGTCATACTGCAGCAGAACTTGTTTCCTTTACTAGACTGTAAATATATAACAGTGCAGACAAACTGTGGAGTTCTGGCTGGTTTGGTTTTCTCTGATCGATATGTCACTAGACCAATAAGTAGAGATTTTTACACTAGGTTTATACATTGGCAGAATCTCAAAAATGACAATAATATTTTTTTTCCTACTGAACTGATTTGAAGAATTATGACAAATATTACATTTTTAACATTAAGGTTAGCTTTTAAGGATAATAAGTAGTGGAGAATCAAAAGGCGAGAAAATCGTTTGCAAATTCACAACATTAAACTGCAACAGAAACATCTAGAAAATGCAAATAATATTGAGATTTAGAAACACAAGTGCATTAATCATTAAGCAAGAGTATAGACAGATATTTTTCCATAAAGATCTAGAAATACTTGTACCTTATACAAAGGTCTAAAGCTTACAAATCGTACACAACAATGAAACACTGGAACTTAATATATATATATATTAAAGATAACTAATTTTACCAAGACCACTTCATCATTTGTCAGTTGCATCAATCACTAAATAAAAAAATCATGAAACATTCCTACCTTTTTGTTTCATAAAGGTTTAAGATATCTGAATACCAAAAACCAGTACATTGCAAACAGTGTGACAATTCCTTCTGGAAGACATGACTTAATTTTTCGACAATTTACTTTTAGGTCTACAGTAGAGTATTAACTGGTGATGGAAAATTCGACCTCTATCACAGGGTAATATCAATATTGTAAATTCCTAAACATGCTAATTGTGTTAAAGACATCAGCTGTCATTCCAAGAGGCAGTGATTGTTACAATTTTTAAAGTTTTGACTAAAACTTTATTTATCTTTACTACAACAATTATTATTATGTAACTATCAACATGAATCACTCTTGTTGTACCCATGCACAGGGTTGAGACTCCACCCTAGACAAAGTTACCAAAGGTCCTTATATATAACTGTAATGAAAGGGTAGCACAAAATCCTTCTGAGTATGTGACTTTCAAAGGTATACATGAACATTACCTATGTATAATGAAATATGCACCCACATAAAATCACAATCACCATGGATAAAAAAATCGATAAAATTGTTGATTTTAAATCTCAACAACTACATACCTTTAGTTATACACATGTATATTTGGTGGTTAAATAGTGGACACATTTCACCTACTGGGTGTGTAAACCTTTGTGGAAATCTAAGTCTTTTTATAACTGTTAAACGATAAGATAAACTTTCAATATCTGCCAACAATTGATTTTAAATCTCAACAACTACATACCTTTAGCTATACACATGTATATTTGGTGGTTAAATAGTGGACACATTTCACCTACTGGGTGTGTAAACCTTTGTGGAAATCTAAGTCTTTTTATAACTGTTAAACGAGAAGATAAACTTTCAATATCTGATCTACCTGTGTATCAGGTACATATGCCAACAATTCTACACAGCATTGACAAATACTAATACACTGGGGTGTTTCAGAAGATGGGGATGGGTGGTTGTGTGCGTGTGGAGGAAGGGTGGGGTATTAATCAGTGTTAACAATAAACTATAATTGAATGCATATTCTAACATTACATCAATACCTATCATGTGTGCAGTTACCAATATACATTTTAACATCTATTGAATTTACAATGTGTGGGTGGGTGTGTTTCAATGCAAGACTTCTATTGTTGGATAATATGACACATGTTTCAATTTTTTTCCCCTCAAATTCTGATCAATCAAACAAAAATACAGATTGCGAAAAAATTATGATCATCACATTTTTGGAGCCTTTGACATCAGAAAATATTTTGACTTTCTTTTTTTATGTCAAATTCACTTTATAGCCCCAATATGCACAACTTTCACTTAAAAAGCAATGAGGATGTGTAATATATAATCTATTTATAGTCAAATTAAACTTATCTGAGAAATACTCAAGATGTTATCATGTGCTGGTATTTATATAAATAAAAGCTGTTGATATTCGCTATTTGTAAACATGTCTCCATTTACGATCTTTGCCGAACCAGAGTTGGAAAAAATCTCTCAAACATTTCCGTGAGAGGTCAGTATATACTATAAACACGATTACGCCCTATTCATATACACAGCGAGCCCTCAAATGACTATACACCTGCATTCTACTTGTGACATGACATTATATAAAACATGCAGCATGTGCAACATCACAATTTACCGGTAAATGCACGTCCTACACCTGTACATTTCAGTATGCAGTATGGTCAAGTGGTTTTTTTCTTCACAACAGTCTTCTGAACTTCCTAAACATTGATATGTGTTAAGTGTGACCAACGCTTATTAATTCTTGTTTGTTTTGATATCCCCATGAAGAGTTTCTAATAGATATTACTCAGCTTAAGTATGTTTTAATCTTATCTTTGTATAATTACAAAGTTTTCTAAGAAATTTTCTGAAGATCATGAATTTGCCAAATGATGTGTATATTTGGGTATTAAGGTAGAACTTCGGCAAGACATACATAATGCTGATGATGTTATGATATTATTCCATGGAAAAAGCTGATTATTGGGATCCTGTAGCTGTTCCTCCATTGTACAATCATTGGACATGGGCCAGACTTCTCTACATCACTGTTACAGATCTAGAGCCACAAGCAGTCCACACACAAGTACATCATCCTGTCAAGTTAGTGACTACATACCCCTACACACCACACCTGTTTGTACTTTGCACTATATTTTCTAATCAACTTAGCATATAGAGGGACACAGATACAGTAATGAAGTTTTAACAATTATATAAGAATATCTCACATTTCTTCTTTTACTGACAAGATTTCTCTCTGGGTCAGCTCTCAGTCCTAGAAGCAGCAAGCACAGAGGGCTATTACATATAACATCTGACTCAAAATTAAGGATGCCACATGTCAAAGTATACTTCAGCATCATTTCTTGTTAAGTCTTCCTGACTAATAGACTACAGAGATTTTTACTGCTCTGGGATAGGGCATTCTTGCTTTATTTTGGGCCCCCGTCATGTCACCAAGGAGAAACAGACTTATTGCTGTATATATATATGGTATTTGTATACAAACAAGTCCCATCTACCTGGGTACAACTTTACTTTACAGCAAGTTACCTGTCCTAGGATATAACTTGTTACTTGCAGTGCTTATATGGTAATTTGTATAATATTACAAGATCATTATCATTAACAGACTTCACTTTAAAATTAGATTTTGTGACTTTTGTTAATTTCATCTACCTTTCTTATTTCTACATCTTTATTAACAAAAGATTATAATTATTCTTGACGCTGGACTTTACACAGAAAAAGTTAAAGAGAAGGTACATGTTGATTATCTCTTTACTTCGGAACTTTTGACTGACTTTAACATTAATAGTGTTGCCACTGATTAATGTGTACATGTGTGTATAATACATTATGTAAAAGTCTGTCAGACTATTACAAAATGTTAAATACTGCAGACGCAAAAATGATGTCAAAATTTTCTTAAATAGAGCGACACAGAACACAAGTCAATTTGAAATTTGAGTCATCTTGTTCTTAGGAGACATTAAACTTTGAAACATCCACGCCTCCTTATGGTCAATCAGATCTCAGAATGCTGTGACACAGATCTACTATAAAATGATCAAGTTTATAGATACTGGAGAATGTTCCCACCTAGAAAGTGTGCGGGTGTTATAATCGGATACACCCCTGTACTATAATGACAGAATCAAGGTGTGGTATATATTATACTCAGTGTGTTGATAAAAATAGAATTTCAGCAGAAAGCCTCAATTTGTCATTTTTATTCACCATTCCTTACCAAAACAATATCATCACCATTGAAAGTTTGTACCTCAAGCAAAATTATCAGTGGGGTTTCAACAATATATAAAGTTTCCAAGAACTGTTTTTATTTGTCCTATGATGGCCTGATAATATTTACATGTACCATATATATCTTATATATCCATTTTTTGTTGTTGTTTTTAATATAGAAGGGTTGGCTGGTTAACATCTTTCAAGTACCATGAGTGATTGAAATTGGGTCCATGCAGTTATATAATTAATAAATGAATAAACATAGGGTCACATCATTGTCATTGCAATTTTGGCATCAATTAATTGGTTTCATCTCCTTAATTAATTCTCTTGATAATTTTCTCCTTAATTGATTAAATTCTTTATAATTTTTTTTAATATTCACCCATTACTATCAAATACTTCATTTTTCTCTCCTTATAACATTTCCATACGACTTCAATAAAAGAAAACACAAGATTTTCTAATCTGCACTTATTCAAGCACTTATTCATTAAGCAAGCATTATGCTGTACTTTACCTTAATTTCATAACATACAGAGATCTGCATTTAAGAAACAATTTATGCATGGGATTACATTTTCAAATTTTTGCCAAAAAAAAAAATTTTTTTGTCATGTGCTTTTTGTGTACACAAGAGGAAAGAGTATCTATCTCATGCAAACATGTTTAAGTCATGAATTAAAAGCTTTTTTGTTGCCAAGACCTGGCGCCCCAGTAATTCCTGCACAAAAATAAATCTAAAAAAAAAATCTGAGACCTCAAAGCAATGAAATTTGACCTTATTATCTGTGTTAGGTTCATCAAGATAAAATATCTTTAAGCAGAAACGTTTATCACAGAGTTACTGTACGTATACCTCCAACAGAACAGTTGTTGAACATTCAGTGTTGTAAAAGCGCAGATTTTCATCTTTAATCCCAAAGTAGAAACTTTTTACGTAATACTTACAAGCTCAAGCGATACCAGAAAAAAACCCAAAAAGTTGATTCTCAGATCACTTTCACCAACATGTTTCAAATAATTAGGGTGCCAAATCAAGACTTTTTAATGTCTCTTAAGGACAACCTTGACAGCACAGGGTGGTCTGTGTGAACCGCAAGCATAAACCAGTTGACCCCAACCCAAACAAGCATTAAAAAATGTATCAACTCTGGAACAGAAGTTCTTTTAATGCCACCAGTAGAAGATTTGAGTGTAACATTTCAATGACTACATGATCACCTTCATCAGACAAATGACCACTGTGGAACATACAAGCACCGACATATGTCGTGTATAAGATGGTAAGGAATTGACCAGTGTTAGAACACTCCACACTGGTCTTTTGTCTGATGGAGGTGACATGTAGTCATCGAAAAGTCATACTCAAATCTTCTAATGGTTTTGTTTTAAGAACTTACTCCACTCCTACCCTCAGGAAGAAATGAACTGAAATGTTCAGCAACTCTATTTTCTTCCAGTACATGACAATTTAGAATTAAAAATTCTGTCTGACATTTTTAAAAAATACATTGCAACCTTCAGCATGCTGATAGTTGTTGACGATGTGTTCAGTGAATCCAACTGAAGGTCAGACATTTCATTTACTTTGTTGACTTTGCAAATGATAATGTCATGTCAGTACAAAACAATGAGGACAAGCAAAGCTATGTTTAACACACTAAACAATGTGGACAAGCAAAGCCATGTTTAACACACTAAACAATGAGCACAAGCTAGGTCATTCTCATGATAAAGCTTTAGAATCTGACAGATCATGCTATGCTGTCCATTTCAGAAAGATGCATAATGAAAACGCCAATTGCAAATAATACTATCTGTAGTATTTTAAGTTACGGTTACAAAAAAATACAATATTACTGCAACAGAGAATGCATCACCTTTCTATTAATATTGAACAACCAGTCAGCTGATTATGAAATTGATTAACTACATCCAAAATATCCAATTTTAACCAGTAATTGATTACGGATTTTAACAGAATCTTTATCATTAGGGTCAGCATCATCCATCACTGATCTGTCTGGTAGGTCAAAATTTGGTGAAATGATGTCATTTTCTGCAAATTATGTGACCTGTTTAAAACAAAACCATCACTGGCTTGCAAGGGCCTGTGTTCAATAAAATTGCTAAAATTCACATCATACCTGTACACAGACTTTGTACCTTCGGTGATGAATCTAACATCTGTATTAATAGTATTCCAATGATAAAGGAATATCAAAAGGACTTAAAGTGAGATCATATTTTCAATACTTAGGATTTTCTTTTGTATTAAACTGCTATTTCATGATTCAAAAAAGTTTGAGTACAGAAGATGTGATGGGTTTTAGTGATATGAGTCAGACTTACCAATCTGCCTACTTCAGAGCAGGCAGATGTTAAATCTTTACAGACAACCAAAATGGTATGATTGGTGGAGATTGTTTGGAATAATTGTGTGTTCATTAATGATTGTACAATAACATATCGGTCTAAAGTACTAGGTTGTTAGGGATATAGCACTGAATGCAATGACTAAACGCAACCTGCACACTGTAAAACACACATATGATATAATATATCAAACAACAACCTTCACCTTAATCTATCAAGCCAACATATCATAAAATCAAAATTTAACTATGCTTATGTTACATCATTGAAATTTGTACATGTTTACACACTAGAATACAGCAGCCTTATAAAACGATATACAACTATTGTGTTGTTGAGTTGTCCAAGTGTATTACACGATACACAAATTCTGTGTTTTTGAGGTGTCAAAGTGTATTCACAGATTATCTTTTCGTGAGCTAACATATTGCTATGCTATTGTTTATATAAGTAAATCCCAATAGACCTAAGACAAAATAGTAGTACAGTAGTACTCACAAACATTAAATTTTGTGGTAAAATACCTGAAATAAAGCAACAATTAATATACCTGTAATATTGTAACATCACATACTTCCATCCTGGTGTCTGGTTTATATCCCAGTCTGGCTGATGTACCAGTGAGGCAGAGTTACATAGGAAAATCACAGGCTGGGACAGTCACAGAGGAATTTAAGTAATGTTTCAGGAAACTAAACTACAGGCTGGGACTGTGATGGAGGAATTTAGGTAGATCCTGTAGTGTTTCAGGAAACTAAACTACAGGCTGGGACTGTGATGGAGGAATTTAGGTAGATCCTGTAGTGTTTCAGGAAACTAAACTACAGGCTGTGAGTGTGAGAGAGGAATTAAGGCAGTGTTCCAAGACACTAAACTACAGGCTTCAATGGTGACAGTTGAACAAACAATGCTTATGTTTCAGGAACTTTAACTACAGGCTGGGACAGCGTTGGAGGGATTATGGTAGTGTTTCAGGAAACTAAATTACAGTATAGGAGTTAGGATTGTGACAGAGAAATTGAGGCAGTATTTCAGGCAATACAGTCACAGTGTAGGACTGTGACAAGAGGAATTGGGAAAGTGTTTCATAAGTCACAGTTTAAGACTACCAGGACTGAGGTATTGAACGTGTCGCTGGTGTGGTCATAGATAATCAAATACAGTAGTATTAAGTTAGGCCTCCAAGGGAACTGATTTTTTTCTATACTGCACATTCCTATAGAGTTATAGGTCTTACACCCAGCTGTTACACTAGAAAACTATACAACTGTTTTCGAAGAAAATCAAAAGCACCCAGATTACGATAAATCACAATTTATGTTAAATGAGAATTAAAAACGCTATTTCACACACCACAGCCTTGTGTGAATATTGATATTTTCTGCATAAAATGTTGAGTGGCTCCCCCAGGGTGTATGGGAACAGGCCTGTTGGTTCTCAAACATCAAGTTATATTAATGTGATCACTACCAGATACCATTTTAACTATTCTCAGTTAACAACATCATTATAATTAACAAGTACTGTATTTCATACAATAAGCACACTTGCCTGATGTTAGCATAACCCAATATTTCTCTAGGGAAAGTAAATTGGTTGTCAAAAATATAACTTCACTACAAATATGATGTTTATGATTGATTTTCATTTTCAATATTTTTTTAACCACTAATTACAAGCAATATCACTGAATCCCCATTTGCTTTTAAATTTAAAATATTTTCAGCTTCTGAAGTTTCAACCCATTTTACATAGAAACCTATAAAATAGTTTTAATATTTAATATGCCTATCAATATCCCTTGTATGTATGCAAAGACAAAGGTCAGGTATAACATGACACTTTACTGGACATGATTTATTAGTCTCAGTCAGTAACAGAGGAAAATGTTTTGTAAGATTTGTAAATAAATTAAAAAACAAATGGGAAAAAGGTTTTAAGCATTTTCTTTATGCTCCCTTCTATAGGTAAATCATGATACATAATTTTATTTATATACATTTGTGTACTGTATATCATGTACATGAATGCCAAAAATATCACAGTATTCTGGGGTCTCCCATATTTGGAACTATTTTGCAGATATGTCGCCTCAATTGAAAGCTTCGCTTGTAGAGAGGCATCTTCAATCTTCTTGCTGCGATGTACTCGATACGGAACTTAATTCCCCCTTACACCGACAAATTCCCCCTTACACCGACAAATTCCCCCTTACACCGAACTATGTACAGTCTCATCAAAATCCACAAAAACATGCTGGATCCAGCCCTAGGAAAGCACAACTCAATAAAACCTCATAAACCTGAAGCTTGATAAAAGCTGAAGAATTCAAAACTTAGTAACATCTGATGAATTCAAAGAGTGCTCTCTGTTGCCACCTCTGAATTTTGCAATGAATATTCTACAGATCATCAAAACGAACCTGTCAACAACTGCAACCTTAAACATTTTACAAATGGCGACTGATTTATATTGTTGTAAATACCATCCTACATAAACATCAGGGATATATCTATACACTTACCTTGCACCAAGTCCACAGTCACTGTTTATGAACAGATACTGTCAAATGAATAAATACAATATCAGACTAACTCAAAATGACAGGCCACGCCCAATAACTTGAGTCTTCACCTCAAATGTTGAGCAGTCACCTGTGATTCCTGGGTTGTGGGGAGGGGTGGAGGTATTGTCAATATAGACCCACAGTTATGGACAATCTTATCAGGCTTTATAAAGGGGCTAGATAGGGCCACACCACATTACAGTAGTCATGCTCCCTGGACTGGCAGTGTCCATGTTCCTATGTCCAGCAGTCTATCTATGGTAAACATATGACCCTGCACATACCTACCAAATACCATAAATATATATCTGCTGACAACAAAGCCCAGTCAGATTGTGCTAAGAAGATATAGGACAGATCATTAAACCAGGAGACAAATTCCACTACTGTAACTTCACAGCAACAACTGACAAGTGCCCAAACCCTTTACCTTCATTTCCCTTACACATTATCTTTTAACCAACAAATTTTACTTGAATGAAGAACTGAAAAAATCTTCAAATATGACTATAAGGGAAATCGGTAATAACCTCTGTCCACATCTATAGTGATCCAAACAAAACTTCAACAAATGCTATTCCATTGTCCTTTAATAAGCCCACTCCAAAATGACTGTTGAAGAATATATGTCAGTGGGCTTGTAGTAGGTAAAATCTTAATTACAATTAAATTAGTGGTCCCTTTAGTCACATAACTGCACTTGTCCAGACAGATGTCCGTATCTCTTAAGATAGTGGTCCCTTTGGGCAGGTGACAACACTAGCATTCTTGTTCAGACAGTGGTCCCTCTACACAAGCAAGAGCATCATGGTTTAGAATGTCCTATTAGAGATAAAGGCCCCTCTAAACAGGTATCAGTAGTCCAGTCCAGACAGGTAAATGCCCCTCTAAAGGTAGAGGTCCCTCCAGACAGATTGTACCTGTGAAGGTAGTAGTGGTCCCTCGAGACAGAAAGTTGGTCTTCATCCAAATCATCCAAATAAATCATAGGGTTATGTAGGTCTACTAAGTTCACTCCTACCTGAGACATGGAAGTAAAAGTTGATCGTGTCCATTTTCCCTGTCTCTAATTTTCTGCAGCAAAAGCACTGAACGACTGGTCATTCCCATCAGATCATATCCCTCAAACTCATAACTGTCGTCATAAAAACATTTCTTCAAACACATCTCGAAATTTTCACAAACATTGATAAAGTTGTCTGACTATCTGCCCTCTTAAAGATGTGCTATAAATTCTCTTTCGCCCTAGGAGAAGTGTGTTCATGACTTCGTAATTTTGGGCATAAAAAAGATGACAAACTAACACCATCTGGTATCAGTCTGAAAAGGAAAAAGACTCCTGACCCAAGTCTTTTCAGTATATTCTGTATTGGTTTTAACTCCAGAATATATTTCATTACTCAAATTGATGGTTTTACAGGGACATAGCTATACTACAAGTGTTCTGGCCCTCTAAATATTTAGGAAAGCATAATTTAATTTCTGAAACTAAAATTACAGAAAGTTACAAGTCCACTGAGTGTACTGTAGCCACATGTTTTCATTGTCATTGGTCAACATTTAAAAGTATCTAGGGAAGGAGGAGGTGTTGCATTTTACAGACCTCACAAATTACAGGGATCACACATTACACATATCACACATTACACGTATCACACATTACAGGTATCACACATTACACATATAAATTACACGTGTCATTGCATGTTTCATTACATGTGTCACACATTACTTGTATCACACATTGCATGCATCGCACAAAGTAATACAGGTATTAAACATCACTGTTAAAGTAAGAGTTGCCCCATTAGACTTTGTAGTTATAACCTTAATTTACAATGTTAGATAAAAATTTAAATCCAAAACATTGGACCGAAAGTCCAGGGTTCAATTCCTTTTAAAATACAGAAGGTTGCCTTGATAAATCAACTTGTTTCACAAATTTCCCATCATAATCTCCAAAAATCAGAACCAATTAACACAAAAAATGGGAAACAAATTACAAGAACTCCTACATAGAAGATGCAAGCACACTACATGAGAATGGTTACTGTTAATGTGATTGACTGCCTCGGGAAATTGTCTACACAAGAATCAATATGGAAACCATAGATTGACATGGCTCTAGCCAGCCAAAGTCTGTAAACATCAGCACTACAAAACACAACGTCCCGGATCTATTCCTAGCAAATAATGGCAAATCTAAATGTATACAACTACATAATTATCTTCATCATACAACAGTTCAAATATCGAAAAGTTGACAAATGTTATTAACACAATCTTATTTATCTCATAAAAAAATAAAATGTAACATTCTGTTAACATTTATTTTGTACATGTAGCCAGTTGTTTGTTATAATATTTTCCATTCTTGTATTACAAAAATTTCAAAATATTTTTACCAGATCTTTCATATTTTTACCAGTAAATAAGACTCTATCATGCTATGACCAGTACTATACTATAATATTTTTTACTTTTAAGAGTGAAGGTTCAGTGTATACATATATAAGGAGAGTGTTTGAAAACTTAAAAAAATCTTGAATTTTGCCATTGTGTGGTTTTTAACTATCTTTCAAGGGTAACAGAAAGCAGTGTTTATGCATGACAGTTTGCCACATATACTATGCAAAAGTATCATATTTTTAACATGATTGTAGTTAAATGTGACTACATGTGTACACCAGTTCAACATTTTTCTTAATATGAGTAGGCATGTTTTCAGCAGTACCATCAATTCAACGATATATTTGCGACCACCAACCTTAGACCAGTGATTCCAAGTGATAATGACCTCTTCTTGTAAAATTGACAGGGTTTGCTCGCACAAACTTGGGGATCTCAGTTACACGTTTTAACATGTCAAGTTGGGTATGTGTACAACTTGTATATCATCATATGTGTTAAAAACAGATTTATTATTCCAAACAGTTCACCTTTCAGAATTATGATAAGAACACCGACAGGCTTTATCAGGAACTAGAGATATCAAGAAACACCCACACTTCAATGAAACCCACACTTCAGTTTCTATATCTGAAGAACATACAATTC